AAACACTGGTGTAGTTCGAAACGATTTCTAGAAAACTTTTACCAAAGTATTTTGATTTGATTTGTGAAGCTTTTAGAGAACTGCATGGTATTCAGCAGATAAAATAGAGTACATCTTGATATTCTGATATAATTTGGATGGATCTTCACTGAGTTATGAGTTTTTTAATTTTACTCAGAAACAGAGGAAAGTGGGTTATTTCAACTAATATACGTTTTCGCTAGGTTTTAAAACGTATTTGAAAAATAAATGTTGCCACGAGATTTACCATGATCGATTACCTATGTTTTCATTCGTTTACGGAATTATCACACCTAAAAAAATATCGATTCTGGGACTCCCAAGAACTCCGATGCCAGGCCCGAATCAGGAAAAATTAAGAGTTCGCTTAGTTCGCACACACTTCGGATTATCTATCTCAGGTTCCAAAGATCCTCCTGGAAAATCTATAGAGAGTCAATGAAAATTGTTTTTTCTGCCACAGTTGGATGTGTCCTGGACTCGGCTATAAGCCGGTGAAAACCGTTTCGCGATATCTCTTCGCATTGCCGAGTTATTCGAAGAGGCGCTGGGCATCTTACTTTTTGAATCCGATAATGGAAATATTTTAAGTCATGGTATCTAGAGTTATAGTCGCATCTTCGGGAAAAATCAGTAATTTTGCCTTCAGTTTATCCAAATTTTGAAAACCAGAACAGTGACAATGAAAACCGAGTACATTATAAAGTTTATTCAGTTATAACCGATGTTCGGTTATTTCGGTTTCAGTTTAACCGAACCGATGCACACCTAGTCATGAAGAACACAGACTTCCGTACTTTGCTGATCCGAAGCTTCTGTGCTGAATGGAACAGATCGGTGCGTTCCAATTATTTGTATTTCCAGATGGCATAGATAGAAAGGCAACAAAAGGAGACGGAAAATTTACACCACTAGAATTGTCAACGAATAGAATACTTCGCAATTAATATATTGTTAATGATGTGATGATATTTTTTATATGCGCATATAGAAGTTGTGTTTTGGCCTTTTCTCGTTTTCGTTCATCAGGTCCCCGAGATGCTCACCCGAGAGGTTCCCTGGTGCTCACTAAAAGGTTTAAAAATCAATAGAAAATACTTTTGTTGTTTGCATGATTTTCTAGAAATCTTTTCAAGTAAGGGGATGTTTTCTTATCAGTCTTAAGTACAGATGAAATTGCGAAGGTATATTTTGATATTCTGAAGTAGTCTGGTTCGATTTCGAGTGAATTATGAATTTTTTAATTTACGGTGAAAATAGTAAAAACTGCATTATTCAACATAGTATAGGTTTCCACTAGGTTTTTGAAGTTTTTTCTAAAAGTAAACATTACTCCGAGATTTAAAATAGTCGAAAACCTATGCTCAATTCACTTTCGAGATTATCAAGCATCAAGGTCGCCTGATAGGGTGCCATCGGAGAAATTCTGTCACGCGCGAATGGTGTCAGTGTATGTTCTGCATGTTTTGAAACTATAGGTTGCTATGGAAAAGAAAAAAAGTCGTAGTTTGTAATTCTTGTATAGTTAGTTTTGTTATGTTCGACCGTTATAAAGGTCGAAATATCAACAGATGAAGGTTAAATTCCATCCCTTTATAAAAAATTTAAAACTGCTGCAGTCGTTGTTAAATTCTTGATCAAAAAGTCGTTGCCTTCAAATACAGTTATCGTTCTTCAGAAACTGGAACTGTCACACTCTTTCTCACTTTCTCTGGATTTTAAAGTCCATACATCTATCTACCTAAATCGATCGACTCTACAATCTATTTGCGTTAGATTTTGTATATTCAAAACGCCAAGGGAAACATTTGAAAATCTTACTTCCAGACATCTATAGTAGATATCAGATCCACTAATAGCATCAAAAGTAACTCTCAAAAAAATCGGATTACAAAGGGAGTCGAAAGAACACTTCAAAGTACTTCCTTATCAGTATTCTTAGATGATGTATTCTTCAGATAGAAGTGATTTGCGTCAAGTGAGAACAAATGGTGTCACCGACAAAAAACTTTCAAATCGAAATGCTTATAATTCAACAACAGTTGTTACTACAGAACAAGAAACAATTTCGGTAAGCAGAAAAATTCTTGTACAGAGTGATGATAATGCTTTTCAACAGATTATTCCTATTTTATGTAATTATGATCCCTCATTAGCTCAATCCTACTGGATGGACCATGAAGAATGGCGGTCTCAGTATTATGCAAATACCTCGCTCAATTTTCATTCTCAAAGCTTCAACGTATTTTTAAAAGATTCATTGTTTCATTCTCTACAAAAAACCATGAATAATAATTGAATATTTTTTATATCCCGTAGAAATAAAAGAATGTAGCTGAAATACTGCGAAGCTTCAATTTCCATTGGTTTCAAACCCAAAAAGCAGTTTTATAATCCCAGTTCTTTATATTTCGCGATACAGAAGAAGATTTCGCTTACATCGATTTTATCAAAAATCACCATTTTCAAACTGAAGTTTTGATGGCATTTGAGAAAATTTTTATATATCAGCCAAAATCAAATATTTTGAGGGCTGGTATGTCTTATCATAAAGAAACATAATTCTTCTGTTACATCAGAACAGAGAAAGTTCGATAACTTCATTTCCTTTCCACTGACACGCTGAAAAGGTGGAAATTTTCATATTTTTTGATTGACTGTAGTAAACAGCCTTTCGTATAAAAGAAACACGTTCAACGCCAACCTCTGATACATGAAAAGGAAGACGACACTTCTAGGCACTAGAACATTCATTTTGATTCTACTTTGTTACATAGCATCATGTTCAAAATAAATACCTTTCGTTGTGTTTGTGTTTGAGAGACCAATGAAAATTGATGCTTCGCAGTATTTTACCTACATTCTTTTATTTCTACGGTATATAAAAAAATATTCAATATGTTTTTTTGTACACTGTAATTTTAAATTAAAATTGCTAGTTTATAGAAAATCGACCGAAAGATCGCCGAGGATTTTCTAGTTAAATAATTTCCAAAAATCTGGAAATTCGATTTTGATTTTCTATAACCCAGAAAATCCTCGGCAATTTTCTAGAAAGTGGAAATTCGCCCAGGAATTTCTAGACCAAATACTTAGTCATCTTTTTGTTTTGCAATTAGTGTAGGTATAAGAGCGTCATGTAAAGACACTCATATTACACTTAAATCAACTTTGACAGTTTCTACTTTAGATCACAATTCTGCCTGTGCCAGCAAGAGTTTTGATTTAGGCAGAGACAGTGGTGGTGCGAAGTTTTGGTAGGAAGGTCCGAAAATCGGAGACGTTCATTAGAAATTTCTCAAAAGCATGAGCGGAGTTCACCCCTACACAGCCTGGTCGCGCCGCCACTCGGTGCAGATCCGCCAAGGAATTTCCAGTTTATAGAGAATCAAAAAGAAATTTCTACTTTCTTGAACATTATTTATGGAAATTCAACGAGGATTTTCTGCTTCGTTGGAAATTCGATTTTCTATAAACTGGAAATTTGTCGGGGAATTCCCATAGGTACTCTTTGAAATTTGCCGAGCATTTTCCATAAATAATTTCCAACCTTACAGTGTAGAGAATGAAACGATGAATCTTTTAAAAATACGTTGAAGCCTTGAGAATGAAAACTGAACGAGATATTTGCGTAATACTGAGACCGCCATTATTTATGGCCCATCCGTTAGAACTCTAGAATATTTTTCTTTGAATAAAACTGCGATCAGATTTGAGCAGACGCTATTGAATAAATGGAATATAAGTATTTACAAAGCACTCGGATTCGATGTATTTCAGTGTTATTGTAAGAATAAGCTTGTACATAATCATAAACAATCTAAGATCTATTATCAACTTCCGAATGATCTCATATCAATACCTCGATGTTTTGAGAAGAAGTAGACATCTTAACATTGTATATTCCATTCAAAATACGGCAGCCACACAAACTTTTGGAATAGATTGTAAACCAGGATAAATGTACACTTGCAGTTCTGGCTATTTGAAAGACGAGATCTGAGTTCAGTCATTGATGAGAAAAGAAGGGAGAAGTACCATCTGCAGCCGGTTTATTTGATCTTCCAACATTTTGACTAAATTCTCAAATTTTATCAAAATTTAAAATTATCTCAACTAGGTGAAAAACTACCCAAACCACTCTATTTTACTACTCTACCAGATCCTGAGGTTTAATAAACGCCTCAAAAGTCAGCAGAAACTGTATTGATTTTTGAAAGAGTTTTCTAAAAATCTTCTGCTGTAAGAAATATTTTTCGTGCGAATGTGGTCACAACGTTGGACTCAAGTACACCAGCTACAGATGGTACGTCTCCCTTCTTTTCTCATCAATGACTGAACTCAGACCTTCTTTTTCAAATAGCCAGAACCGCCAGTGTACATTCATCTTGGTGTACAATCTATTCCAAAAGTTTGTGTGACTCCCGTATTTTAAATACAATAATACTTGTTTTCTCAGAATGGTTACTCTGGAGCTGATCAAGTTGTATCTCGTTCTCTCAAGTCTCCAGTGGTTATCGTTAAAAATCATGTCGAACGACAAACTCCACCAACAACATCCATCATTCGAATGTCTAACATTGTAACACCACCTTCTTCGACACTTACAACAATAACTGAGTCACGTCAAAACATACCCGCAGCATCCATTGTTCAAATTGATGAACCGAAGTCAACATCAAATGTCACAATAATCAACAAAAGCCAAACAACCGCTGTTCAAACGGAACCATCGTATTCTAATTCCTCATCAGTTCGTCCACCACCCGGTCGTTTTTGGCCAGATATGCGTCAGCTACGACAAATTTCAGAATCACAATCTGACTATCAGGTATTGCCACCATCAAAAGATGTTGTTGTTCTAACAGAACGACCTGCTGAAATAGTAAAAACAACTAACATCATAAATGACACCGTCACCGATGTATTAAGACCTGTTCCAACGGTAGAAACAAAAACTATTGTAACAAAACCAACGATTGTTGCCACAGATAGCGATATAGTAAGTCGTCGAAGAAAAAGTCGTTATAAAAATCGGAGCTATCGTAATCGACGTCGATCGATAGCCAGTACAGCATCAACATATTCTAGTTATTCTACTACTTCGGGTACGTTGTCAAGTGCACGAACACTTACACCTCGGCCTCATAGAACTCAACAGCGTACAATTATTCATCAACCGACGGTCGTTACTCAACCAATTCAAACGCAAATTATAACAGAACCAATGATTACTGTTGTACCTCATCGTCGCTTAATTCGTCGTGTTAAACGAGCAAAAACTCAAAGCGGTTACTATAGTTCAGATCTAGATCATGGTTTTCGTCGCGTGTATAAAAGTGATTATAAATACCGACATTATTATTATTGTAATTGGTTTAAAGGTAGATGTGATTTAAAAAATCGATCATGTGGCTGTTGTGAATGGTTTTACGGGTGTCCTGTGTGGATGCTTGTTTTGCTCATGCTTCTTTTCCTTGGAATACTTGTAGCCTTTTTTACTCTATTAGGTTTACAACCGACGATAAATGCGGCGCGTCGCTCACAAACCGCTCAAAATCGTCTATTAAATAAAACTGTAATCGTTTATGGATTTTTAGAAAATTGCGGTTATGGAACAGCAGGCGCTGGAACAACATTACCATTGTGTATAAATACAATTTCAACTACAACAGTGCAGCAATTGTTATCATCCTATTATATTAACTTAAATAACTCAAATCCATCAGCAACGCATAATTCATGTTTAGTCGTTTTTCTTTTGACAATTTTGCTTCATTTTTTGAGCATAACCAGGTGTAGCTCAGGAGGTTACTAACTTTTCTTTTTCTTTAAATGCATTTCACTTTCGATTAGTGCTGGATGAATAATTTGCATTTGAAATCATTCAATTGATAATTTAATTCTCTAACGAGGGAACTTTCTTAAGTGCTCCCTCGCTTTTTTAACAGAACCCAGTGGGTTATGGGTTATCGATGATGCTGATTCCGAATATGAATATGAAAGCTGCTCTTATGGCTTCGAAGATCCGGTTTTCTGGAAATCAGAAACTCCAGAAAGACAACCAAAACTGTTCTTAATGAGCCATGCTTGTAGCCCGCACATTTCTGATTAAAATGAGATTTCTTCCAACTCTACATGGCCTTTCTTTGCAAAGTTATAAAATTTACAAGAAAAGTCCTAAGTATTCATTGTCAACTCAAAGCTACAGAAATAAGAAGAAATTAACTTAGGGCTTTTCTTGTCAAAAGCTAGTCTCAGATGTCTGCTTTTGGTTGTTGAAGACCGTAACATTCTATGTTACGCTGTTACTGAGTTATTAAAAAAAAAACAACCTACAGTGTATTTTGGAGCACATAGTGGTACCCACAGACTTCCTTTCTTACCTCTCCCAATTACCTGTACAAGTAGAAACCAAAGTTTTATTAAAGGTGGATAGAGCACACTCAGGCGAATCGAACGGTATATAATAAGTTGAATTATGTTTCAATTTTCATTGAAAAGAAGCATGTAGTAATCTCACCGGGCATTGCTTTCTTAAAATCTCCCCGGACATTTTCGCGTATTTTCCAAATTTCTCCTCGACGATGCAACATTTCAGGTTCGTAATTTACCAAATATCAAATCTCATGAGGTCAAAAATGATCAACGTTTGATCTTGATCGGAGTGTTATTTATCGAGATATCGAAAAAATAAAATCGAAAATCTCTCGGAACATTTTGTGGATGAAGCCTCGATTTTCAACAATATAACAGACTTTTCTGTACAAAGAAAGTACTTTTCAAATTATATTTTCTTATCAATTTGTTACGCACTCGAAGCCGTATCGATTCTACATATTGACAATCATTTCCGATTTTTCCTTTAGCCCGACATTAGGCTTTGAAATCTCACCGGACATAAATTCCAAAGTGAGTAACAAAGCAAAGATAAGCTATTTTCTAATTGAAATTTTATCTCTGTCTGGAATCAAAGGATGCGGCATTGTAGAGAAAGATGTGGCCTACAAAATGGAAATGCAATATTACTCTTCGAAGACTAAATATATTGGAAAAGATACGTTTTCTCTCGGTAGACAGCGCCAGAAACCAACCAATGCCGAAATGCAAGAGTTATATCTCATAAACTATACCCAAGCATGAAATTTCATAAGAAATAAGCTAGCTGCACTTGCTGAAGAAGCGCCCGCTTCTCCATTGACTGCAGCTAGCTAAAAGAGTAAAATTTAGCGGGTGCAGCTAGCTGCAGCGGGACAA